GTCGAGCAAGGCTCAGTCTCCATGAGTGGGAGATGAACCCGTCCTATCTTTTCCCACTCTCCTGCAGGTGGGGATCTCCCCAAGTCGATGTTTTCGCTACCAGAGCCAACAAAAAATGTCCCCCGTTCTGCAGTCGAGGCGGCAGGGACTCACAATCGCTCGGAGACAGTCTCCTTCTTCCGTGGTCCTCAGGCCTTCTGTACCTTTTCCCTCCTTTACCCCTGCTTCTGAGAGTGGTACGCAAGATCAGCCAAGACGGGGCGGACTGCATGCTGATAACACCGTGGTGGCCGAGACAACCATGGTTCTCGACAGTCCTCGAGTTGTCAAAGGGAATGTACCACCAGTTCCCTCCGGTACAGGACCTCCTCTTTCTGTCAGACTCCCCTCTCCTACATCACGACGTACCACGCTTGAAATTGACGGCATGGAGAATAACGTCGAAGGTTTTTCGACCCACGTAGCCAATGTTGTACTGAACACCAGGAAACCTGCTACGCGAAGGTCCTACCATTATAAATGGCAACGATTCTGTTCTTCCCTAGGTGATGATGTCCCTCAAGCCTCCTCCGCAGGCCTCGAGAAAGTTTTCCAATTCCTCCTGTCCCTCGCTAACTCTGGACTTTCCCATTCATCGTTAAAAGTTTATTTGGCCGCAATTCCAGCCTACCATGTTTACGTCGATGAATGCACCATGTTTTCACATCCGCTTTCGAAATGTTTTTTAAAAGGTTTGTTACACCTCTACCCTCCTGTCAAGACTCCTGTCGTTCCCTGGGATCTTCCTCTAGTCCTTCGTCAACTTACGAGGAAACCCTTTGAGCCACTCACAACTTGCAATATGAAATTCCTGTCTTGGAAGATGGCCTTTCTAGTGGCCATCACCTCTGCAAGGCGAGTTGGAGAAATACTGACTTTCCGTCATGACATGCCTTATTTGTCATTCTTGCCAGATGGAGTCCACCTTCAGGCAGAGGTCTTCCACCTACAGGCAGAGGTCTTCCTCCCGGATTTCTTCCCAGCTCCTAAATCCCCAGAGGACAGACTGTTACATACCTTGGATGTCAAAAGGGCACTACTGTTCTACCTCAACAGAACCTGCCCAACGAGACGTGACTCCCAACTGTTCATCTCATATGCACCAGCGAGGCTGGGGACTCGCATCATGGCTCAACGCCTCTCAAAGTGGATTGTGGGTCTCATCCACCTCTGCTCCTTGATTGCAAAGCAGCCGTTGCCTGGCCCCATCAAGACCCATTCAACCCGGGCTGTTGCGGCTTCCACTGCCTTCCTCCAGGGAGTGCCCCTGACGGACATCTGCAAGGCTGCTACCTGGGCCACGCCTAACACCTTCATGAGGCATTACGCCCTGGACGTCCGTAAGAACTCTAATACCAACATGGGACGTCACATTCTATCTTCGGTGACGCAGTAAGGACCTGCCAGCACCCTCCTCCAGTTAGGCCACTGCTCGCTAATCTCCCATGAATGTGAAGCACAGAGACCACGTCGAAGATAAACAGGTTGCTTACCTGTAACTGATGATCTTCGAGTGGTCATCTGTGCATTCACACCACCCACCCTCCTTCCCCGCTGCTGTCAGCTTCTACATTTTCAATAGGGGTTGATTTGCGGTGGTTCGAAAGAACTGGCGGGATGTCCGCGCCCTCCCTCGAGGGCACACACACAGTCACATGAGCTTCACATGTGACCGTGTGTACGCTGTTTTGAATGGTGGGAGGAGTGGCTCAGTGCTAGAGCATCTGCTTGGCATGCAGAAGGTCCCAGGTTCAATCCCTGGCATCTCCAGTTAAAAGTATCAGGGAGAGGGTGATGTGAAAGACCTTTGCCTGAGACCTTGCAGAGCTGCTGCGAAGTCTGAGTAGACACTACTGAATTTGATGGACCAAGGGTCTGATTCAGTATAAGGCAGCTTCATGGGTTCCTGTGTGTTCAATATAAAACACATGTATCATATATTCATTCTGCCTTAATGAAAAAATTATCCCAAACAAGCATTTTTCCATTTTATTATCATAACATGTCAATCATATATTGTGCTCAGAATGCTTGCTGTATTTTTTAATTAATCATAAGATTTGTCGTGCTTTCCCCCCCCTAGGCTGGCATGTATGAAGCAGTCAACGAGGTTTACAAAATCCTTATTCCAATTCATGAAGCTAACAGAGATGCTAAGAAATTGTGTGCAATTCATGGTAAACTTCAGGACGCATTCAGCAAGATAGTTCATCAGGTAATAGTCTGGATTCCTACTGGCAGTCCCTGCAGCAAGAAAATTTTAAAAAGCATATTTGCAATTGTCCTGCCTGAATTGTTCCCACAACACACACACATACCCCAATCCCTAGTCCCAATAGTTTTCCATATTACTGAAGTGCCCTGAAGTAAGGGATCCTGACTCTGAGGACAATAGCTTGAATTCAGGAACTCCCTTTTGCTTAACTGGATCCAGTAACACCCCCCCCTCCACTAAGTCTGCCTCCAACAGAATACCTTTCTCTGATATTACTTCCATTAGAGGAGTAATTAGTAAAAGGGGGTCTTGAAACAAGGTAGTCCCCTGGATGCAACCCAGTGTTATGCCATGCAAAGTCAGCAACATTAGAGAAAGATAACCATTAACTGGCTGCCCCTTGGCATCCTTTGGCTAACTACATAGCGTATGTTGGCTGGCATCCTTAGGGAGGCTTGCCTTCCCTTTAAGGCATCTAGAGCTGCTCAAGTAACGACAGGGACATTTTTTGTTGGTGCTGCAAGTGATCTCTGCTTGTGCAGATTGAAGCCTACATTGCATAACTGTTGTGAGGACTGATGGTCCTGCCTGCTCGTTATTTCTCACCCACAGTCTACGAATCAGGAGCATGGCATCTCTGCAGACCCTCAGTGTGCACAGATGCTACTGCAGTGATTGTTTCATTTCTATTCCCCTCCCCAAAGACCCCATCTATATCTAAAACGTCATGTAATCCAATGAATGTGTTGCTATAATAATGCAATTATTATTTCAGTCAACTTACTGGGAAATGTAGATTTTAACCACTGGGAAATGTAGATTTTAACCAGAACACAAACACTTGTGAAAAACAAATTGCATTCTTCTAGAAGCTGGTAATGGTGTGGTAACTGCCCCCCCCCCCAGCAAACACTGAACTTCATTCCTTAAAAACTGTTGCACAGCTTGGCATTGGCCCAAACATTCAGTTCTTCTTTTGGGTGCCATCCTAAACTATTTCACCTTTCTAAATCCATTGAAGTCAGCTGTACTGTTTAGGATTGCACAGTAAATCTAGATTTTGCTGCCTGAAATTCAGGCTGCACTAGAATAGTTGTAGTGGCTTTGAGAACTCAGATTTGGTTTTAAGTGCTTAATAGTGGGAAAGAGGGCTTTGCCATAGTGTCGTTTTTCTTCTGAAACTAAGTGGCAAGCTGAACATGCAGCAGCTAAAAATTCCTTGAGGCTGTTTCAAGTGAACAGTGTTCTATGTTGATGGTTGTATTTTGGCCTTTGAGAAGAGAGTACTGATTTTGTTTCTGTGACATACCCCCTTTTTTTTTTACATTTTATTACACAGAGTACTGGCTGGGAGGTAGGTAATATTTTAGTTAGTAAAGAACACTAATAGATTGATCTGATGACTCCTGCCAACGCTTAGCCCGCATGTGCTAGCTGTGGGCATTTCTGTTGCTGTCTGCTATTGACCTGAATTAATTAACCAAAGAAATATCGGCCAAATTGTTGTGGTCATTTTAGACGACTTAGGTAGTGCATGAATGCCTCTGTATTACACTAATGAGGTTCTTTGGTGAATGAACCACTTTTTACCATCACTAGTTTGTTTTTATATTCCATTTCTCATCAGTATTGACAAACAATATCATCTCTTCCTACCATATTTTCACCCCCAACACAGGGGTCGATTTAAGTTCTAATACGCAAAAGTTTAAAAATGATTCCCATTAAAAGATGTTCGTTCTTTCTTATTGTAACGTAACTGTGGCATTTACAAAACAAGCATCTTCTGCTTTCCTGAAAGGTTTGATCAGCAATGAAATGAACTCAGTTTAAGGCCCTTTCCAAAATCTTCAGCAAGCAGAGAGATAGATGTATTTGCTTTTGCTTTTGTGAACTCCAGAACTTGAATGACTCCAGCAGCTATCTGGTGATGAAATCCAGGTTATCTAGTGTTCTCTCTAGTAAAATCACATAAAGCCACATCATAACAATAGTACTTATAGGGACGTGAACAAATGACATTCAGTACACATATACATAGTATAAAAATACCAAAAAAAATCCCATTTTAAAAGTATCATCAAGCCTTTCTGGTTTCAGGTATAACTTCTTGTAATGGCAACAGAGCAGTGCTGAAGAATGGCAGCAACTGGGCTATTAGCCCAGTTTCATTGACTGCAGTACAGAGATTAAGATCCGTTTTTTTAGCCATTTCCTCTTCTACAGTTCCATTTCCTCTTCTACAGTTCCTTCCTCTGAAACCCCAAACTGTTTTTTAAACTGCTAGAGCTGCATTTGAATCATTTTGCTGGATTGCAGTCATGGAACTCATATATTTTAGGTTTCAAGCATTTTAAGGAAAAAACGGGGCTACCAATTTTTCCACTGCTGCCAGTTTTTTACTGCAGGAATATTTTGCCTTCAACAGATTCATAATAGACAGAGATCCATCAAGTGCAGCTTTCCAATCTGCATTTCCCCACCAGAAAAAAAGGATAGCAACCCTAAGAAAGGCCTGCTCTGATTAATAACAAGTTTGGGATAAGACTATTACAGAATATGAAGGAAAGGCTAGCTGTGATTAGTGTCCACGAGTTGGATGCAAAGTAAATCTTGATGTGATTTGCTTTGTTGTTGTTCAGTCGCACAGTCGAGTCAGACTCTTCGCGACCCCATGGACCAGATCACGCCAGGCCCTCGCAGAAAAAATGGTGTGATTTGCTTAGCTGTTCAAAATGCTGTCTTATCAAATATGCACACTTCTGCACGAAAATCAAAACACATGAATCTTTGGCTCAGCGGTACTTGTTTGCATCTTGAGTGTGCAGATCAGTTGAGCCCCTTCAGCTACTGGTATTCCCCCCCCCACCACCACCACCACCATAAGATTTGAGTATAGTAGCACCTTAGAGACCAACAAGATTTTCGGGGTATAAGCTTCCTTTGTCAAATACCATAGTGGTAGGCAATCCCGCCCCAATGATGTATGTGCCCATAGTTAGGGATAATAAACTATGTAAGCCGCTCAGAGACCCCGTGGGAGGGGTTCGAGCGGGATATAAGCTGAATGTAAAATAATTTTTTTAAAAAATAGTAGCATTATGGTTACCGTTAATCTGACAAAGGGAACTTTGACTCTCCAGAGTTTATACCCTGAAAATCTCGTTGGTCTCTACGGTGCTCCTGGACTCAAATCTAGCTGTTCTACTGCAGACCAGCATGGCCACCCTCAAAAACTTTTTCCCGCCATTGTGTCCCTCATTGCTGAGCAGGTTTCTAGCCCTTCTGACCCCTTTATGCTCTCATACCTGGACAAATAGCAAAGAACATAAATAGTCTAACAGGAGTACCATGGACAATCTTTGCTTCTGCTTCTGTTGTAGGACTCTGGTGCATATTGGAGCGTCTTAGATGCATTGAGTTCCTATGAAAATTCAGCACACAGCTAAGAACATGGGTCCTGTCAATTTCAATAGAGCTTCAGTGAATCTTACCTTTTTTCAGTTTGAATCCAGTATGCACCAACAAAACTGTGATCTGCCTTTGAAAGTAGTGGAAGCTCCTCCAATGTGTAACTTATGTGCAGACACATTTCGAATGGGACTTTTGAGAACAGAATAAGAACATAAGAGAAGCCAATGTTGGATCAGGTCAATGGCCCATTCAGTCCAACACTCTGTGCCATCAGGCGGTCCATCAGTGGGGCCAGGACACTAGAAGCCCTCCCACTGTCGCCCCCCCCCCAGCACCAAGAATACAGAGCATCACTTGCCCCAGGCTGAGAGTTCATATCTATACCTCGTGGCTAATAGCCACTGATGGACCTCTGCTTCATATATTTAGAATGCCCACTTGAAATAGGTATGTTTTGCACTTTTTGCAAATATTTTATTTGTTTCTGTTCCATCTGCTCCACCCCAACCTCAGTATAGGTGCCAATGCATTCTTTTCATTTTCTCTGGCCCATCTTCCTCTATCTTGATCATTCTTATTGTGGCAGCTAGTGTAGTGGTTAAGTGTGCGGACTCTAATCTGGGAGAACCAGGTTTGATTCCCCACTCGCAGCTGCTAGATGACCTTGGGCAAGCCATAGTTCTGTCAGAGGTGTTCTTGAAAAGAGCAGTTTCTGTTTGTAAGCTGCTCTGAGACTCTGAGTGAAGGGCAGAGTATAAATCCAATCTCCTCCTCCTCCTCTTCTTCGTCTTCTAGCAGTTCAGTTCAAGAGAGCACTTATGATGCGCAGTTACGATTATGCACTCTCTCCATGGTCCTCCCATCTTCAATGAATGTTAAAGACCAAAGTTTAATTTTGATCCAACATGCATCTTTGTAGCACCCAAGAACTTGGAAGCACCTGCTTTCAGAAAGGCCTATCCTCTGCCTGTCATGGTAGCTATCCTGATTATGTGATTGGTGTAGTCCTAGTCACTGATCTGACCTAAATTTTTATTTCTGCCTAGAAAATCAAAATAAAAGTCAAAGTTTAACCTCAAACATAAAAGAACGCAGCTGCTTTCTAGTATGATGTGTCTTAACAAATGTAGTCTTTTAAGACATGCACTCTTCTTATCCAATAACTGTAAGATAAACATCATACCTGTATATGTTCGCTACTAAGAATCCAAACTTCTCTATAAGATAGCTGCTTGCTTCGAGAAATTCCCACAAGTCAGCTGATTCTACCCGCAGAACCTGAAAACCAGAACCCGTCACTAGTGCAGTTAGAACTGGACCCAAACTGTATATTGTCATTCAGGAGAATAATGCAACATAAACACAATGTGAAGCACCCCTGTGGCTGTCCTGTAACCAGTTAGTGGGTCCATAGCCTGTGAGCATTTTTTTCTGACCATTGTGTGTGATGCTAAATCGACCCCTGAAGTATATATCCTGTCATCAGTTACAATTTTAACATCATTCAGTAGTGTTTTATTGCATGGTAAAAACACATCCATGGTTTATGTTCTTGTCCACTGCTTTGCACCTGCCACTTCCTCTTT